AAAAACATATTATTGCATGCAGACATTTTGGGGGAAAACCTCTTTAGTTCCTCACAGGATCATAGGGCATAAAAAGTGTGGTAAATGCTCTATCTGTAAATACACCATGGAGATAATAGAGTTTGTTAGTCCTATTAATGGTTATAGGATTAAATGTCATCATTATTCTACGTGCCCGAGTAAGAATATTGTGTATGTAATCCTCTGTCCCTGCAAAAAATTATATGTTGGGATCTGTACTAGAGCCTTTAAAACTCGTGTCCTAGAGCACCGCTCCAGACGCTAATGATGTTAGGGAAGCACCTTTGACACAACACTGGCAGGAACAAAAACACAACATAGAAGATATAAAATGCTGTGTAATCTACAGACATCAAAACAATACCTTTAGGGGGGGGGAATGCCATACGGGGGGGACACGGTCAAAGTGCGGCTTTTAAAAGCCGCACCAAAAGAGACACGTGGGCCGTGGCGGCGGGATCACATAGATCCCCTGAGCCGCCACGCACTTCCTCCCCAGCACGATCAGATGCCGGGGGGAAGCCACTGACAGGGAAGCAAGGCAGCCGAACTGCGCATGTGTGAGCATGCGCAGTTCGGCCGGGAGCTGGAATTGCTGAGAACGAAGAGCTTGTCGGCGATCCCACAGCCGCACTTGATGCGGCATCTTAGGTAAATCCTCCTCTAGGGGTGGTTCTTTTTTACAGCGCATTATTGGCCTGAAGGGACGGATCAGGGACGGGTGCAAGCCGATTCCCAGATGTTGCGGTGTGCTCACGCCCGTTTGCTGCACCCCCGATCCGTCCCTCTCCTGGGCCAAAATCTCCCGTGTTACCGGGGCCAGAGTTTATCTTTAAATTAGGAGCATGTGAACCTTTGGGTCTCAGTGCATATGTAGATTTTACTGCTTTCCTTCAACTGACACCACTGTTAAGCTGATTAGGCAATTTGCACCTGGAAGGCATGAATGGGCTTTACATATTAGGAGATACTTGGCGGCTCTCAAGAGCCGTCTTTACATTAATTTAGATGGAAGAACACCTATAGAATCAGGTTACACGTCTCCATCATGAACAAAGGAAAATAAAGCATTTTTAGTAAGATATTTAATCTTTATTAGCAAGTCAAATTTTAGTGGCAAGGCAATCTTGATGTTGATATGTATTGTATACAATTTCACTTTAGAGACATCGCTGTACAATAAGACAGTTTGGAGGCATTACTGGCTGAGAAGTTCCTGTGACTGTGCCTCTTCGGGAGTCCCCGTCTGCAGTCCTGATGAAGGCATCGAAAACTCATTGAACAATCTGGAGGATGAGTTGACCGCAGCCTATTTCGACTGCAGCCTATTTCTTGTTGTATGTCTCAAGTCTTAAGGACTGGATCTACTTGCTGATTGCAACATACTTTATACTGTTTATCTTTATGTACTTGCTTTATGGACATTTGAAGTTCATGTTCTTCAGTCCATTGAAATTGTGAACTTAGAATCTGTGAAGTTTTCCTTTTGGGAGTGTCCACTAGTAAATGTGAGATATTGCTTTAAAGCTCCAGCCTATTTACTGCAGTTCATGTATTTCATGTATTGAATACTGGTGTATGTTTGAGAAATATTTGGAGTCTTGTGTGATGCTAAGTCATACATGATGTCTCATTCTGCTGCATCCGTAGCTCATCCGTGTGGCATACTGGAGTTGAGTGCAGCGTCCCCTCTAAGCTGTGGAGTCTCATGATCAAAAATTCTACTCCATTAGCCAAAAGAGCTACTAGTGTAAGAGTTGTGAGGGAGCCTACATTTTTAAAATGTAGATGATTTTTTAAAAATGTGTTTTAAAATGTATGTGAATTTTTAAAAAGATTTTAAAAAATAAAATAAAAATAAAAAGTAGGTGAAAAAGTCAGCATCCTGAAAACACAAAGGAGAAACAGAATACTCTAGAGAGTCAGTATGTGTAGCTGTTAGAGTACTAGTTTAGGACTGAGAGACCTGGTTACAAGGCTCTTTTTGTAGCAGGAACTCCTTTGCATATTAGGCCACACCTCCCTAATGTAGCCAATCCCCCAAGAGCTTACAGAGCTCTTCTTACAGGAGCTACTGTATGCTCTTGGAGGATTGGCTACATTAGGGGTGTGTCGCTCATAGGCGTAATCTTCGTGGGGGCGGCGGGGCTTCAGCCCCCGCCGAAATTTTCAGGAAGGTTCTCAGCCTCCCCTGGGAGCCACCCTTGCTCCTAGCACAGCAATGCCTCTGGCCCAGCCCCAGCCCCACCCCCGGGGAAATTGGAAAGTCTACACCCTTGGAATATGCAAATGAGTACCTGCTACAAAAAGAGCCCTGAAAATCCCTATTTAGCCATGAACAGTGTTGGAAAAATAGAAACCAGTTATTTTTCCTATTACCCTAAACAGAGTATCGTCTGGTTTTGCATATTCTTTCTGACATATTTAGGCCCCGGTCACACGACAAAGTTGCCGCGGGAGAGGCACGGATGGTGGGCGGATTATCCGGATGCGATCACACCCCAACATCTGGGAAGTGGAGCGCACCTGTGGCTTACCGCCGAAAATGCGTGTTAAAAAAGTAGTACCTCCAAAGTACTAGTAAACGTTTGCCACAGGCTGCCTCCAGACTCCCGTAGTGTGCTCGCGCCGGCGCACGGCATTCCCCTCCGGTCCCTCGTTTACCCACCGGTGCCGAGGGAAGGACCCGTGGTGTGCCGCCGGCATGTCTGATCATGTAATCGTGGATCAAATTGCGCCGGGGCAATTAGCCATGCCTCCCCCCCGCGATATCCAGTCCGTATGACACAATTTTAACAGATACCCTCTGGCTGCATCCCTATGAACACATAGTATGTTCTTCCCTTATATTCCCTGGAAACCTTTGACACATGGATTTTAGCACAACAAAGAACTGTATGCACTAATCTATTTTTACTCTTTTTAGTCGTTTCAATGGACGTTTCCAGGGCACCTCAGTTTCACTGCCCCTATCTGTAGCTTCACTTACATGACCTATTAGTTCCACATCAAATGGTGATTACAGTAAACTTTCCACAATATCAGAGACACACATAAGAAATTATGGTCTGGTTTTCCTTAGACCTGTACAGACAATCAGGTAAATTCATAATTTGTTCTTATAAACTGGATTTCTGTGTTTATTTGAATTTCTCTCCTCCCCCTTCCCTGTTTAGGAATCATGTTCACTTTCACAGAATTCCCAACGCTCCCCACCCCCTGACCCCCAATCTTGCCCATCTCCCCTCCTCCCAACCGTCATCCCCACCATCACCACTAGCTGACAGGAGGCCATGGAGGATCGCCAGGATGCTTGACCACCAGCTTGTGAGCCTGGCTCTGCTACCTGCCCCCCCCCCTCACAAGCTGGCGGCAATACGGCCCAACACTCCTCTGTGGCCTCCCACCACAAGCACCATCAGCTAGTGGTGAAGACAGAGGCCAGGACCTCCATCCTCATCACTAGCCACCGGTACTGGCGGTGGGAGGCCATGGAGGAGCACTGGGCCACGTTGCCAGCCCAAGGCCATGGAGACAAGGGGGCGACTGACCTACTATTCTCCTGCTGTTCCTGCCAAACACCTCAGACCAACCGTCCTGCACAGAAGGTAAAATCTCTGCACAGATGGTGGGAAATCTGCATGCTAACACACCCTAGCACAGCTTAGGGGGAACTCTGCTACCATTCATGCTCACCATTCATGCATATTGTGTATGTCCCTAATAATATGGAACAGTGTTTTTTTTTGGGGGGGGGTATTATTCTTCCTATGGACCAGCATGAGTTCCCACCATCTTCCTCTCCAGATAATTATCTCAGTGATGAGACATGATAATATTCTTTCATCATAAGCTGTGAAGCAAAAGTGCCTATGAAGGGTTAAGTTATGTAACAGTAGGCTAGCCTTCTTATTTATTTATTTATTTATTATGAACCTTACTATGAACCCACGGACCCTTAGTAAAAAGCTCTGTTCTGGAGCTAATAAAATTAACTACCTTTTTTTTGTATTTTTTTTTTCATATGTGCATGTGTGTGTGCACTTGGAAATCATATCAACCTCTGGTGACTGACCACTACTCAGGGCCTGGAGGCTGTTCAGAGAGGTAGCTGAATAAAGCCTGCCCCCACCTCCCACCTCTGGTATTCCAAAGAGGTCTCCCATCCAAGTACTTGCCAGACTCGACCCTGCTTAGTTTCCGAGATGTGATGCGATTGGGATTGCCTCGGCTATCCAGGTCAGGGTGAACTGTACCATTTTGAACTGTACTTTGACATTTAAAAGGAAATATCCCTCTGAATAGAGAACTCCCAGGTGTAGGCAAGACTTCTTACTTCTGTACTGATTTTTACTTAAAAATTGGTGAACGTTTAATATACATCTGTTTCCCCCAGTGGTCCATTTAGTCCAACATCTTGTTTCACACAGTGGACAACCAGTTCCTTTGGTGGTCCAACAACAGGGCATAGAGACCAAGCCCTTCCTCTGATGTTACCTCCTGGCCCTGGGATTCAGAGGTTTATTGCCTCTCATGGTGGAGGTAGACCACTCAATCATCTCAGCATTCAGCCATTTCCTTCCTAACATATTCTGCTTTAGGAAGGAACTCCTGCTCAGCTTCATTCAAGTCACTTATTCAGCTTCAGCTATTCTCAAGGCCTCCTTGAACATTTCATGCTCTACCATCCCATCCCATCCAACAGCCAGGCAGGACAGCAGATGTATTGGGTCCATCCTTCCCACCCCTCATCCAAAGGGTAACCAAGTATAGGGTTACACATATTAATGAGAACTCATCACTGTGGTAACTGAAGTGGATTAGGCTCATAGAGAAAGGCCACTGATTCAACATGTACACTGATTCAACATCTACAGTGAGAAGTGCTTTAATGTTCATTTTAAACCCCCAACGCCAAAGCACCTCATTCATAGCATCCACACTTCCCCCCTTTTGTACCCTCGGACTAAGGTCAACACTTATCCTTTCCTCTCAAATCCCCATGTTCGTACCACCTTGGCCATTGCCTCATGGACATCCTTGTTTCTCAGAGTGTATATGATGGGGTTCAGAAGCGGGGTGACCACAACGTAAAACACAGCGACCTCCTTGCCATTGTCAGCAGAGGCTCCTGACTGTGGTAAGATATAGACAAAACTGGCAATGCTATAAAACATGACGACCACAGTTAAATGGGAGCCACATGTAGATAAGGCCTTACGCAGTCCAGTAGCTGAGCGCATTCGGAACAAAGACACCAGAATGAGTCCATAGGAAGTCAAGATGATTGAAACAGGACATAAGAGGACCAATGCTGCAGAGACAAAAATGATGATTTCTGTGATAAAGGTGTCATTGCATGCGAGCCTCAGCACCATTGGTACCTCACAGATGAAATGTTGGACGCAGCAGGGGCCACAGAAGGGGTGGCTAAAGGTGACGCTCACACATATGGCAGCAATGAGAAAGCCAGCTACCCAGCAGGCTGAGGCAAGCTGGAACTGGCACTGTCTTCCCATGGCAGTGGCATAGGTCAGGGGATGGCAGATGGCCAAATAACGGTCGTAGGCCATGATGCCCAGCAGAAGGGATTCAGTGCTCGCTAGGGCCAAAGCCGTGTACATCTGTAATGCACAACGGGTTGAGGACAATTCCGCACGACCCGCTAGAAGGTGAGCGAGTATCTGGGGAACGGTAGTGTTGATATAAAAGATCTCCACACTGGAGAGGTGTGTCAGAAAGAAGTACATGGGTGTGTGGAGGTGGTTGTTGTTCTGTACCAACACAATGATCCCTGTATTCCCCACAAGGGTAAGTATATAGATGAGGAGAATGACCACAAAGAGTAGAATCTGCGTCTCACGGTCATTGGAGAGGCCCACCAAGACAAACTCTGTGCTAGTGTTGTACGTCTGAGGACTCATCCCGGGCTTCTTCCTGCAGAAAATGGAAACATTGATAGACTGAGGCATATGATGACCTCCAGGTCTCATGTGGCCATAAATCAGACCAGTTATTTAAACATCATGATCTCAATCTAAACAGCACTACATCTCTTTACTTCCTCCTCCAAGGTTCCTTTACCTGAATGATGGAGCTCTAAGCTCTAAGTTATACAACAGGATGTTAAAATGTGGAACTAATTGGTAAAATTGCATTGTATATTTGGGTTAAAGAGTGACACCCAAATCAATAACATAGGGAGACTGGAACTTGTTTGTGATCTTTTGGAATGATGAAAAGTGTTGGAGAAAAAGGAGGAAAACTCCTTTCCCTTTAGAATTCTGTTCAAAAAGCCCATTGTTCCTGTCCATGTGTATAGAAATATTGATTTCTAAAAGGTCTCATGCCTTCCCCTGGAATGTCTTGCTGAATACCCTGCTATGTTGCATTTCCTATTGAAGCCAAATGGCCTCAATAGCCCTGCCATATAACCCTACATTCTTCACACTTCCATGCTGGCAGAGACCAGATGGCCCTAGCAAACAGGCAAAGACACACGTACGCTATGGTGTTTGGGGTTTGGGGGACCACATGACTGCAGGTGTGGCCTTCAGAGTCCTGACCATTCAGATGTTGTACCCATGGCAACCCAACAATTGGACACTCCCATGTCTACTCCAATTGGCCCCTGGCCAGGGCTAATTTGGGACTGGGATTGCACTATATCTGGTCATTCCCAATAAGAGGAACTCTCTTCTTCTCCTGCTGTGCTCTCTGCTGCTTTGTGTTCTGTGCCTCTGAGATGCCGCCCTGCCATGTGGTCTGTTAGAGGACAAAGAATCCCCTTGTGCCTTAGAGCACATGAGGCAAGGAGGGTGTTCCTCCTCAAACCCCCTTGGGGGTACCTGGACTATAACACTGGATAATCTTAGACTATAGATCATCTCTGGTAACTACGTATATCTCTTTAATGTTTAGTGAGGGCCAAGGGCCATAAGTTTCCAGTTTTCAGTAATCCTTGTAGTCTAATTACTAAATTCTGTGCTGAATAAATTTATCCTGGTTTATAACTTGTCTGTCTGTATTGTAACTGGACTTCAAGGCTAAACTCCTGTGCCTTCTGCTCACCAAATTGCGCTACCTTGGTAAGATTAACTGCACAGCTCTAGATTGAGTTGCTAATGTATTAAATCCCAGATGTCAACTGAGATTCTGGAATCTCTAATCTCAGGCTGATGAGGGATTAAGTTTAGAGATTCCTGGTGGCAAATGTTCTGAAATCCAGAGAGGGCAGTCTACCTCTCTGGGTGTTATTGGTAAGGCATTGTAAAGTATAGGGTTCCCTCTCATTCCTGGACAGGCGTGGGGGGCAGATCCTATACATGGTGGCTTTTAGCGTCGGGATCTATGGACTGGGATCCAGTTGCAATAATTGTGGGTATATTTGCCCTATGCGTACAGAGTTGGCATCAGACTGTGAGAAAGTTTTGTTACTTTTAAAAGTGTTAGCTAGGAATTTTGTACCAGAGGGAGGTGGAGCATGGAAGAAGCGCAGATGACTGGCTGTTTACTGGCTCTAGAGACACCCCTGGTGCACAGGAAAATGAGAATTGGGGTCTGCCTCAACGCCACTCTCAATTCCGCACATGGGAACAGCCTGGAGATTGGTAAACAAAGGGTCATGACATCACCAGTGCTGAAGGCATTCACGGAGGTCGGAGGGAGCTCTCCACAGAAAAGCCTAGACAGCGTGGTGCTGAACCTTCTGTCCACAACGTTTGCCTGTCATCTGATGAGATTTCTGCCTTGGGGAGAAGCCTTTACTCCAGAGGAGGCAGCTGTGGTTGCGCTGAGCATTGGGAATGGAGCAGTGAGGGATCTACTCTCCCACGTGCAGAGAAGCCTTTCACCAGCTGCAGCCAGCGCACTCTACCTGTCTGAGGAGAAAAGGAGCATCCTGCTTCGCTGTGTGGATGGGTACTAATCTCCACACCATAGAGGTGCAGCTGTCCTGTGTGGCCAGAAAGAGGATAGGAGAATTGGAAGATCCACTCCCCCAAGTGCAGAGAAGCCTTTCCCTAAAGCCACAAGCCAGCGCACTCTACCTGTCAGAGGAGAAGAGGAACTCTACTCCTGCTCGCCTGTCAAGACCTGTGGATTCCCAATCCAGCTTGTGCTTAACTGCAAAAGTTCATCACATCAAAGTGCTTGTCCTGTGTGGAAAGCCAGAAGAGGATGCAAGAAGCCTTCGCCCAGACCACTGTCATCCAAGCCTAACCTCAGGCTGCGTGGACAAAGGGTAACGTGGACTGGGGAGGGTTGAGTGTTTTATCCGGGAATGCAAGTAACCCTGTTATGCTTGGGGGTTGTTTTGCTCAGGGGCTGGGATGTCCTCTGTCTGTCTGTGAGATGGCCTCTGTGTGGGTTGTCTGTGCGTTTGTGTCTGTGTGTGTATTCCCTAGTGATCTGACTGTTACTTTCATTAGAGTACCACATTGGGAAAACACTTCTACAAAAGAAAAAGAATCCACCTGAACTATAAAACTTTGGGTCAAACCATACTGAAAATGCAAAAATTATTTGGGTTCCTAAAACATCATTTCTGGTATACGGCTGGGGGCCGCCTTTGCCGCTGTTGAAGGAGGAGGAGCAGATGAGTTTGCAGGGTCACATGGCCTACTCAAGGAGGGTGGAGCTGGCCTATAACAGCCAGCTCCTTACCCGCCCTCCTCATTCATAGTTCAGAGTTTGGTCCACCCTCCCACCCAATGTGCTGTGTGGGCATTAGCTGGTCGCCGGTTGTCGGGGTAGGAATTTATTGATCCCTGGCTGACTGGCCAATCCGGGGATCTTTTTTCACCTACCTCATACAGTTAGCAGCGGGTTGTGGAATTGGCTTTAGGTGGAGCCTTTTTGCAGGATGGTCACTTTAGTTGGCTGGATCGGGGCTGGTGAATGATATGCGGCTAGGGGGGGTGACCAATTAACAGCCTCTGTTTGGGGATAGGAGTCTGGCTGTTGGAGCCTTTGGGTTTCATGACCTGCGGAGAAGATAGCAGGCTGCCTTGGGAGTGCATGGCTAGATCAGCCACTTAAGTTCTTTGACTTGGGGTTGGATCTCCAGGGCATTGCCCGTTCTGTGCCTGACTGGTACGAGCCATGGATGCTGGCTTAAGCTGGGGGAAGGTGGGTCCCCGTTATACAACTGAGGAAGGGTCAAGTGACCCTTGGCCTGGTTTGTGCCACACGTCACCTTGGCCGTTGGATTTTTGTTGTAAGTTAATAAAGTGGCCCATAGTTCATCCAACCTTTGTGTCTGACTCTACATTCTGAATACAGGGGCAATAGGTTTTTATCATTTTACATTATTCTGACCACCAGGAAGCCCTACCCTGGATAGCCCAAGCTAACCTGCTCTCCTCAGATCTCGGAAACTAAGCAGGGATGGTCCTGGCTAGCGTTTGAATGGGAGACCCCCAAGAGAATCTAGGTTGCTATGCAGATACAGGCCGCAGCAAACCACCTGCGTTTGTCTCTTGACTTGGCTGTGATTTGAGGACACTTCCCACTACCAAGCATGGGTGGAGGGACCTGATGAGTCTGAGGCCACCCATTCCATGTAACACAGGGGTGGTGGTCCATTTTGTGACAAACATGGGGCATGTGGATGAAGGGTGCTACACGCTATTCCCCCCTCATGTCTGTCAATGCACTGGACCCAGTGGGGTAGTCCTTTTCTTCCCAGCTTTGTCCAAATTAGAACAGACTCTTCAAAAGGAGAGAAACCACGTCCAGTCTGCTAGAGATTTGGAAGGGGGGAAAGCAATCATGAGACTTGCATCCTAACGTGGTGAGAAAGGAAAAGGTGACCTAGAAATGTCTTCCCCCATCAAAACAACCAATGGCACTGATGACTAAGTATCAATGCAATCCTAATAAGAGTTTTACCTTTCCACGTAGGATGCCCAAGTCCCCCCTGGACACCTGCAGGGGATTGGGGGGGGGGAGAATTGCCTAATCTAGGTTGGGGGACTCCTGGAGACTTGGGTATGGAGCCTGGCAAGGACAGGGACCTCCATGGAGTACAATGCCATAGAGTCCACCATCCAAAGCATCCATTGTCTTGAGGGGAACTGATCTCTGTAGCCTGGGAATGAGCTCTAATTCCAGAAGATTCCCAGGTCCGGAAACAGCATCCTATGTTTATGAACTGTATTCTCAGTGTCCATCCAGGGAAAGATTCAATACATGCCTACAAGAGGTATCCATCTACGGAGAGACAAGATGCATGCCTACAAGAAGTGTCATGGTTCCTCTTCTCCTCCAAAGATGCTAAGAAATGTATCCACTTCAAGTTAACCCTTCACAAAAACTAAAACAAGGTGATATATGCCCCCCCCCCCGGTAATTTGTCATTGCTTGCAGATCTTATATTTGTGCTTCTATCTGATGGTCTCCAGCAACCACAGGGGCCTTTCTCAAACCACTGGCTTGGTTACAATCCACTCTCTAACACAACATGTGGAAGCCCTAAACTGAAATTCATCCATCGCTCAGTGGCTTCAGGGAAACACATGAAGCTTTCTTTTCCCAAGTCAGACTATATCTATTTAGCTCAGCACTGTCCACTCACTGACAGCATCTCTCCAGGCTCTCAAGCAAGAAAGGTTTTCTGCCGTTTCTACTGCCTGCCTGAGAGTCTATTAAGTAGATACGGGCTGTGGTCACGCACACTAAAGAATCCACCTTCGATCCACTTTCAATGCACTTTCCAACTGGATTTGGCCACTTCACCCAGTACAATTCAGTTGGAAAGTGCACTGAAAATGGACTGAAAGTGGGTTATTTGGTGTGTGTGACCACAGCCATGGTGGCATTTATATTGGAGATCATCTGCATGCAATGCAGGTGGTTTAGAATCCAATCATAATCTGCTTCCCCCCCCCCCGAAGGAAAGCCTACATGGTTTCTCAGATGGGAC